CCAAATCTTTCAATTTTAATATTCTACTTTGTTCCATCAAGTGAATGTACATAGACAAGAAACCACACACAGAAGCCAAAGTCTACAAAGCTAAGCTTAATTATATATCTTTTTGTCTTCCAATATTTTTTACATTTCAAAATGTACTTGAATTCAGCAAAAACCCATTATCGCACTTACACACTACAGCCACAGCTAGAATCATATAATAATCATTATGCAAAAATATATATAGTTGGCTGTACAAAATATTAATAATTGTAGGCTCAAATTTCTACATCTTTACAGCTCAAATACTACATGTACATATACAGAAAGATTTAAACAGCAACAACAAAAATATGATTTGCGAGTCCAAGTGGTTGAGACTCAAAATATAACAAATATTCACAACAATAGCCCCTGTACAGCTTATGTGAAAGATTGTGATCTCATGTCATGTGGTGACCTTTGACCTCTGGCTTCGACTCCCAACTCTGCCGTTCAATTATGAAAAGGGGCAGGGCTATGAAAACATACAGCACATGTTTATTGGCTTGTTATACTCTCTGAGGTCATGTATTAAAAATAGCAGCAGAATAAACATATCTATTTTATAGCAGTTACAGCAGTATACCAAAGATGACGTGATACTTTCTAGATTTGACTCAAATTTCATTTGTGATGATTTGAGCAATGTCACCTTGAAAACATATGCATTTGTGAGTCATAACTTCATGAAATTATGCCACTGCAATGCAGTGATCACATGCTTTTATGCAAGACCAGTGTTTTATATTCATCCAAGATGAAGAAAAACTTAATCGAATGTTTTGACTGGATTCCAAAGGAACTGGAACTTCCCTGGCCTTGTGTTACAAAACAATTGTGAGCTTCTTGAAGCATTTGAGACTGTGCTAACACAAAGTGCATACCTATTTTAAAGAGAATTAAAAGGTTTCTTAGGGTGAATAGAAGGATTAAGGGGAATCTATTTAATGTTTATCACAGGAAGCTAAGGGGAGACAAAAAAGGGGGATGGAATTTTAGAATAATTAACCTTTTGAATACATAGTATTTTAAGATTCAAGATAACAAGGCAGAGCTTGAACACATTTCAAAAGGCTGTGTCATTAGACTCATTGAAAATGATAGGGGAAAATGGAACTGTAACAAGTATAAATAAATATTGTGGAATTATAGAATAATCAAGCAATAATCAAGCAATTAAAAGCATGTTTCAATCTACACAGGTCAGGTTTATAAGAAAGCAGAAAGATCTTCACCATGATTTGCACAATGAACTGTACAGTATAGATTTTGAGAGTATCAAAAGTCAGTTTGACTACTGGAAAAAGTACTCTCACATGTCTATGTCTGCCTTGGTGCAATATCATCAAACAGCTTCCTCCAAATATTGTGTTTTGTGATGGCTTTCAAGAGGTATTTGAAGGCATGCTCCTCAAGCTGAACTCAGCAAGTTATTTTTCATTTAATCCTCAGGTGAGCTCTAAGGACGACCACTAGGAAGGTAAGAAAGTGGCATTTCATTTTTCAAATCTTAAGCGAACACCGGTTCCGTTTCAGAATGCTGAGTCATTACGAGAAGATGATGATTATCTCTCGGCCATGTTTAAGACAGCGAGAGAGAAAGGAGAAATCAAATTTAGCTGGATCATTGATTTCATCTCGGGGTGAGGGGATACGAGGAGACTAATCTCATTACCTGTGACATATCCAACCCGACGTGAAGGAACTCTTCGGCACCCTCCCAGTGAGAGGGGACAAACCGTCTGGACAGACATGAGAGAGAGGTGGTGAACTGTGAGGAATGGCACTACTTAGTGGGTGTCTGTCTTGATACTGAGGAGACCCGGCCCTATTCATGCAATATTAATTCAGAAGAAAAAAAACTTGTAGGCCTATACATGTAAAATCAAACCAGTTTCAGCAACCATCTGTACCAACAAACCACCTATTTCTACAAAGATTACAGTTTTAGACTCCCTTGTGCACCAGAACATCAGTATGACTGAAAACTATAAGAGGAACCACTTGCCTATAAAGAGCACTTTTATCATCTCCCTTGACTTTAGTGGTCTTTGTATAAAGGTATTACCATATTAACACTCCATAGGAACATGAATAATTGTCTCTGGATAAGTGTAAAGGTTCCTCATGTAGGTTTGAACAAGGAATACTCTCCAAGAAAAACAAGAACAGTTTGTGTTGACAGGTTGTCTCTATAAACAGGTCCCCTTTACTACAAGCTTCACTGAGAAATAAACCGAAGAGAGAAGATTGGCAGTCTTCATTAGCTGGTGGTCTTTATAAACAGGTCCACCTCCCCCCCCCCCCCTACCCAATGCAATACATATTTCAAAAGAGAACACCACTTTTAGTATAAATTGTTGTTGTCAGTATAATGAAATTACAACTGTATATTCACACCAAAAAATACCCTACAAATATGCATTCATGTTGAGGTGAAAGGCTCAACTCTGTGGAATATAAATAACCTACTTCCCTATAACCATCAAAAAAGGGAATTTCAATTGATCCAGTCAAACGCTGTGATTCAAACTAGCACTTGATAGATATGTTTTCATAACGACTGTCATCACATGATGAGGAAATCCTGTCACACAGACCAATACCATCACGATGGGATAAGTATGTACGCTACACTGAGAACATCATCATAGTCTGTGTCTATTTTATTTCCCCTTTTAAGCTTATCATGGACTACTTTTGGTAATTCCCTCCTGGAAAGAGACAAACGGTAAACCAAATGTAGCAATGCAATCAACCCTGCTTTAGCAACCACCTATATATAAACTTTATAAAAGAGTATACCATATACCGGTATTTTGTTTCCTTTGATCGGTGTTTCTCACTAAAACCCATACTAAAATCCGTACATCCAAAAGAGGGGAATAACCATTGATTAAGTTTACAAGAATTTAGGAAAGCTGCAGAGATCATGATGAAACGGCATTCATACATGTGCTTTGCACTATAAAAAAAAAAAATCAAGTTTTGAATATCTTTGAAATACCTTTCATATCTCTTCACATTCTCAGGGCTCCACACGGACGTTTTTTTGGCAGGGGGTCCAGATCTGACTTTTTAGATGCATGTGCCCTATGAAAAGATTTTCAACATTTTGGGGGTCCCGAGTCCTGACCCAAATATTGGCAGCCCATGTGTCCTGGGCGCATGCCAGTGACTTTCATCTACATGCAAATGCTCAATGCAACTGTTATTGTACAGCCCAATATTTCAAACTGAATCTTTTATTTCCATACATGTACATTCATCAAAGAGCCACTTAATGACAGCTCCACATAAATCCCCCATTGTACATGAAGATGGCATTGTAATCTATCAACCATGTATATGTACTCTACTTGAATGAAGTGAAGTGGCTCTTGGCCGTACCTTTACCAGCAAATTTGTGTTCATGTCTACCGTCTAAATATGGAATACTTTCCAGCTCCCACCAGCCAATATGGATGCCCTTGATAAATATTCCTGGCATCATAATTATACAGACATATAGGTATCGGTGTCGGTATTTAAGGACTTCTCTACAACCTTGATACATGTACATGTGATGATTATACTTGAGTTGTAGTGTGTTGACGTCATAAAATATATAAAAGTGGGTGTAAATTATGTCCTGCTGATGTTGTGGTATATTTTACTGTTTATTTTAGTATGCACAGCTATCCTAAGGAGTTTTTTTTTCAATGGGGTTTTGAGGATAATATAAAAAATCATTATTACAATTTGTTTTTCTTATAAATTAAAAATATATCGAAGATTAGCAGTGTCGTGCAATCAACTGACTTTGACAAAAAAAGTTTATATTTCAGTTGGGTTCAAACTTAATGCACTTTCATTGAGTCTTAAACTTATTTGCCAATTTGGATAGTTGAAAAAAAAAAAATCTATTGATTCAATTTTCTAAACCAAAATATCAAATCTGATTTCTGAAAACTATGAAGATCTACCTGTATATGGTTATACTTGATTTGTCAAATTACACCAAGCTGACAAATAACTGGATATAAAGATTTGATTGCTAATTATGGCATACAATGTACACTACATTGTATGCTCTCTCCCTGGGCATGCAAACTTGTATTACCAGTTACTGAGAAATTGATCGATAGGGAAACTACATGAACTTTACATGTATATATACAGTGTATGTTTACTTTGAATAAGTACCATACATGTACCATACAAATCTTTTGACATAGCTGATCTGACAAACAAGTTTTTGAGTGACGTTACCCTTTAAGACCATTCCTCACATTCACACAGTTCCTATTCAATCTCACAGCCCCAGGCTTCAAACGAAACACTGATATCCGCTTCCCTAAATGTTAGTGCGATGGGGGCGTAATGCCGCAGCTCTTCAAATGAAAGTCCATTTTCAGCCAACTGTATCTCAATATAGATTGGGAAGGAAATATAGGTCAAGTTTGACGGAGTCGATTCAAATTAGAACCTAGAAAGACTGATTTTTACAAGGGTACACGTATATCTCCAGGGGCGTCCACTAAATTGGCATGTTCATGACATTTCTAATGAAATTGTGAGATTCTACACCAATTCCACAGGATAAGCACCTACGTGTACATACACTAAAGCACTGCTCAAACATGGACATGTTTTGTGGGAGAAAGAGGAAGGAACCTGCAGAAAAAAATATTTGCCCATAACAGTATGTGAATGTCACTCAATGTTATGCATGATATGTTTCCAACAAAGCCAGATGAGGATATGCAATGGCCCGGCTGCCATGTTTTTGTAGTACAGGGGTCGGAATTACAACATGTAAACCTTATTCTTTTAGGAGAACGCTAGAAAGTTATCTGCTGAGAGACATGACCTCAATTTGGGAGTGTAACATGACTTTTTAACTCACATCTTGTCATTTTACTAGAAAGTCATCTGTTGAAAGCCATAAGTTTGTGATCTTGATTGAGTTTGTGATCTTGATTGAGTTAGTAAAACGATACTTACTTGTGTCATTTGACATTATGTACCTGGCTAGCTAGAGTATGAATGCTGGTACATGCAGGTATACATTGACATCTAATGCACATGTACTGTATACATTGTAGGTGACAGAGGGATGATGTTACAAACTACATGTATAGCATGCTACTGTGCGTTTAGTCTGCAGAAGTTTTAATGACTTTCTTCAGATGCAAGAGTCAATTCAACCTACCTGTCTAGCTTCTACAATTGAAAACAATTGAAAATGCAGCATACATGTACAGTATACATCTAATTGATCACATTTCTCTGAAATCAAATACACTGAATGATTTTAATCGTGATTTTTCAATCTTTGGAGTCTGGTCACCAACATGACATGAGAGCAACATCTGTAGTTTCCCACATGCGACACTTAGTATTAAGCAGTACAGAAAATTGCAAATTCTTTTCCTAAGATATAATACATTTTGATATAACAGCAAAACAAAAATGAGCAAAAAGATCTGAAAGCCGATGCGATCCTCAGAATGGATCAATCAGCGCTGATCTTCTTTACAACTTTATGTTTGTTCCAATCTTGTTCCAATCTTGTTCCAATCTTCTTTGACAATAACAAATTCCAAGCTCCTCTGTGAATGAAGGTATAAAAATTGCCAGATGGACTCCACCGAGCTAACACAGAGGGGTATTTATGGGACTAGGCACTAGGAAAAGAAAGGAGAGTTTGCATCACTGCAACATCAATCGCTTGAGGTTCTCTTGAAGGATAGTGTCCCGTACTGCTTGAAACACATATCTGATGTTGTTAGTGTCCACGGCCGTTGTGAAGTAGTGGAAGAGTGCCTTGCTGCCGCGTTCCCTGCGCCTTACGTCAAACATCTTGAGGATGAAATTCTGAACGTCGTTCATCGAGTGCGGGTCCCCCTGGAAGTTGGGGAAGTAGTCCTTTATGCTAACATGCTTGATCTTCTCCTCTAGCAAGTCCGTTTTGTTGAGGAAGAGGATAATGGAAATACTGGCGAAGCACTTGTGGTTGACGATGGTGTCAAAGATGTTGCACGACTCCAGGAGACGGTTGGTGATGCGGTCCTCCATGAGGACCTGATCAAACTCACTTGACGATGCCAGGAAGAGGATGGAGGTCACGCTCTCAAAGCACTGGAACCACTTCTGCCGTTGCGAGCGCTGGCCGCCGACGTCAACGAAGCGGAAGGGCACATTCCTGATGTCGATGACATGCTCCTGGAAGGCTTTGGTGGCCTTACGAGAGTGGAGGATATCAGTCAGGCTTGGTATGTAGTCCTGGAAGGCAACAGATGAGAAATAAGCAGTTTTAGAAAGGGGATCACACAGATGCTTGCAAGAGTACAGTACATGTACAATATTGTCATGTGCTCAGCAGAAGGGGACGAACGGATTTTCGTCACATTTCTAAACTGTTTCATTTTTATTGATGAATTATTATATAAAATCAATGTTAACAATTTGGAAAATGCATTGGTATAGACTAAAATGGTTGCAAAAGAAGTTGAGAAACAATCATATTTTTTTCAACATCCTAAAAGTATATCTGCTGTCCCCACATCTAATGTACATGTGCCCTTCTGCCAAGCATGCAACAATATTCTCAGAAATGGTCATACAAAACAGATGAGACCGAGACAGAATCAAAACAATAATCAAACATAAAAGTTCCAATGTACAATTATAGATTTTAAAATTCAAATAGATATTGTACAGTTCCCATAGATTCAACATTTGATCAATAGGCACTTGTACTCAGTACTTGTTGAAGATCAAATATGTACCTCACATTTATTCTCCTACTGGCCTCCTACTGACAAGAGCAAAGCATCATCTACAGGTATTTGTATAGGCACATTGTACATGTACACCTGTACATGTACATGTACATGTACGTTGGCCCGGCAATGCAAAGACAGGTGAATTTGTGCATACCGTAAATCTCTGTGTATAAGATGCACCTTTTTTCCGCCGAAATTTTTTTTTTGAAAGTCGGGGGTGCATGTTATTCACAGGTACAATTTTTTTTTTTTTTTTTTTTTTAAGTTTTGATTTATGCCTCTCCACCTGGCATTGTGCCTGGCAATGTCTCCCAGCTCAGTCATGGAAACAAGAACAACACTATACCTGAATGTTTGGATTTCTGTTTGGACTTAATAGAGAAAAATTTGTCTGTCATCTTTAGTTTTAAAAACTGTATTGTTACTAATATTTGTGACAAGTTCATAAGCAAAAATCAGCACCTTCAACAGCACCTCACAGTAAAATAAAGGTCCTTCACGCTAGGTTTTTTTTAACACAGACCTGACTTGCTGCCTACGGAGTCGACAAAAAAAAAAATTCTCAGCTCCAAAAATAGGGGTGCGTCTTATACTGCGTGACGTACGGGACCACAGCGTCCCGTACGTCACGCAGCACATTAATTACATTTAAAATTAATTAAAAAATTGGTCAGAACTAAAACTTTCCACAAATGAACTAGCCCATAATAGCCACAGACTCATACCAAAAGATAGCCATATAAATAATTTCATCTGTTGTTATTTCTTGTTTAAAGTCTCTAAATGTCCCGTACGTCACAATCCAAATAGCTTGGACCTGCCCACTTTAGAAACTACATGTACATGTACATGTACATACATTATCAATATTAATATGGAAACATTACGTACTACCCTTCATGTCTGGTCAGTAATAATATAAAAAATGTGCCGAAACTAGAAAATTGGCAATAATTTAATATCTTGTCATCCTTTAAATCACATAATCCTAAAAAGCGGAATATGAATGCAATTTCCCACACTTCGGTAACCCAGTTCTTTGTGGCTAACAATAAAACATCCAAGTGCAAGTGCAAGTGCATGTGTATTGTGTAGTGTATATGGATTTTGGAAAATATCCAAACTTTGGATCAATTAAAGATTATGATAATGCTAGTTCTCAACTTACCTTTCTGCCTACTCGATCAATTTCATCCAAGAAGTACTTAACAGAGTCAGCCTGCAAATGGGAAGAAAGAAAGGCATTCGATAGTGACGTATACATGTACATATAAGTAAACAGAATTAGAGACACAATAAGGAAATATTATTCTATTAATACTTTCAAGGGTTTCATTTTTTTTCTCCATTTCCCCATACATGTAGGTCCATAACACAAATACTGAATAGTGAATACATGTACACAGTATATGCACATGTACATGCCGACCGAAATGCACATGTACACATGTATACAGTTGTACATGTACATGTAAATAGTGAGTAATTGTAAAAGAATATTGTTAAAATAGTCTGTGTATATACAATGTAAATGTTCATGTAGTACTTCAACAACATTTCAAACAAGAAATATCTGTTGTATCAAACTGTATGTACAGTATATGTACCGGTATAGTGTTATCCTACAGTACCCATAAATCAATTCGTCGATGGATGCACAAAATTAATCATTTCTTTGGGGAAACAGCGATTTGCATACAAGTACATGTACAGTACTTGTAGTATTAATGCAATGATTCTTTTTTATTTCATAGCAGATCTGGGTGAAGGAGAGTTTATTAGCGCAGTTTGCACCCAATAAATGACATCCTGAATGGCTGAAGGGAACCATAAGTTTGTCATTTCTCCTCAATACATGGAGATGATGCAGAGGGTGTCTGTTGCCATAGTAACAGATCAGTCATGTCGTAAACAAGCTTTCCGTGCATATGGGAAGTAGAGAAACTATGGTATCACAATGGAAAACATGTTATGGGGAACTGACCATACATGTATGTAATATTGGCATGCTCTCTCGATAAATTAGATAACATGACATACCGAGTTTATACTAAATGTTTTTTTTTTTTTTCAACAAGAGTTTTTACATGTATTCATTTTAAATGTGGACACTCACTGCACATGCATCGTACAAGTTACAACACAAACATTGAAGGCCTACAGTACATTTGTACATGATCTAATGGCCAAATGTGCATTTTTACTGTACATGAACTCTTGTATATTTAGTTTAGACAATTTATCTAAGACGATGTGTTTAAATGCACAGAGCCACAGAATGAAGAAACGATATGTTTTCTGTATTGCACGAGATGTTTTGTGTGACACCTTCCATTATTACACTACCCTTTAAGTTCAACCTACACGTAGGCTATCCTGGATACTCCACTGCACAAAGAGGAAGTACTAGCTTTAAATCATATGTCTAGAAGCACTTCAGTTCAAGTATAAATCTGACAATGCTTTAGAGGTCCCTCCTCCCTTTAATACTGTACATGTACATCTTCATCAAAGATTGGAATTGATTTGATTTTGATTGAAAATATTCATGAAGCATACTGCAGTTTGGATAGTGCCATAGTAAAAGGAGCCTGAACATCCATAGTTTTGTTCGTTTCCAGAATTCAAATTTGATTGTATGTTGGTTTAGAACATTCTAAATTAAAAACTATTCTGTATGATGTGACTTTCACTCATGTGTGTAGTGCCAGGTGGTGGACAGCTATTATATGGGTAAACAACATGAGAAGGTATAGTATAGCAACATATTTGTGTCTTTAAAATGTGAATAGAATATCCCCCAAAACAATCTAAGAAGTTATTGGATATAACAAGTAAGAAACATTTTTAAGTGTAATTGATGGAATTTCAATAGTACCTGTACGCCTGTCGACTATTTCCCAATTATTTCCTGGGAAATTGCCAGCCCTGTAAAATGTACATGATTGATTTCTCACGATGATGATAGACTGGGCATCATGTTTGAAAATGTTGTTTTAATGTATTCACTTCCCTGTTCTTTAGAAACTTTATTTACTGTACGTACAACACATGTAATGGTAACAACCCAAACAAAGGTGTCATAGTCGAGTGGTTTAGAGTTAGACACAGGACTGGAGATGTGAAGGTGGTGGGTTCAATCCCGGTGCAGCACTAGTGTCTATTGGCAAGACAGTAGTAGGATAACAGGACTACAAGAACTAAAGATGTATCCGCATCCTGTCTACCGGTAACCCTTTACAGTATGAGTCGTTAAGTACTGCATAGAGCTGGTTTCGATTCTACAGTATACAACTATACATGTACAATGTAGGCAAAATCTGTTGAGCCCAAGTCCTACTAGCGGAATTACAAAATATTATTCATCAGGATGAAAGATAATGGCAGTAAAGAGCAAAAGAACTACATGTAACCCTGTAACCGATCATTGAATCAGGGGCAGATCGTTGGCCGATCAGGTGAAATCGGACAATAAATTCCTATCACCTATCAATGAAAATGATTGGAAAAAAATCTGCAGATTTATAAAAAAAAAATAATGTCGAAAATTTTGGGCTATCAAATGCCAAAAAAAAAAAATAGCTGGGATTATTTTGTCATTTGGATTTGTTGTAGACCATGTTTGTTGATATTTAGTGCCTTTTCATGACTTTGAAATTAATAATATTGGTCTAAGAGAAGAGGCAAATCATGCGAGCCGCCATCTTGGATTATAATGTAAGCACACATTTGTTGTCCATTGTCATTAAAATCCAAGATGGCAGCTCGCAAGTTTTGCCTCTGTTCTTAGACCAATACATGTAGCCCCCCCCCCCCATGTATGTTTTTTGTATGGTGCGTCATTTGTAAACATAAACAGCTGAAGCTAAAATGATAACCGGCCAGATATTTTTGTAACTTGTAATTGGTTGTCATTATCCATTTAAAAAAAATTGCCCCTGGTTCATCAAAAAATTCCTCCTTGATCTGGTTAAATCCCCATGGGCAAGAGGCAACTTTTAAAACTAAATGCCCCTTGCTCCTGGTCCCTTATTTCAGGCTTGTGTACAAGTACATTTACTTGTAGTATGCCGTCTGTTGAGAGCCAGAAGGGTATTAACTCTGTGGAAAACTATCCTCCTTCTTGCTCTAAATAGGCACTGTTAAGTAGTGTTGGTAATAGTCCTGTCTAGGGGATTACCGCTGAAAAGACACAGCCTGTCACAGACACGAGTACATATTCTACCACTAGTATAACCACTTGTTGGAGCAAAGGAAATCAACCTCTCAGCTCTCACCTTCCTGGTCCTACACTGTACTCACAAGCCTGCATAACCCACATTCTACACATTGAAGAAAGTCCACAGGGCCTTGTGTGACACCTGCAGGCATTCAGGTCACGATGAAATATGTGGCAAAAGTCAAGTTTCATTGACAATGTCAAAACACAAACTTCAAGTTCAGGTACCTCAAAGTTGGTTGGAAAGACCTGTTAACATATCACACACAAAGTTACTCTCATTTGGGATGCCTCTTCCTAAAGTGCCTTCTACTATCAGGCGTACATGTGTACAGTACATCAAGATCTACAAGTACTAATGTAGGTCTACATAATGTACAGACACCTGTTTCACTACTACATGTACAAAGGTAGTCCATTTGTTGTTATGATAGGAACACATCAGGCTCGCCAAAATCTAAGTCTGGACTCTGGAAACTCTGCATGCATTTACCTGTACCTGTACTGTACATCTACAGGTACCTGTCAAAACCACACTGAGGCTGAGTCAGTGGTACTGCTGATTCACAGGTAATCAGTTAATCCATTAAAATGTACAGAGGTGAACCACTGCTTAAACCAGAGCTGATCTTCTAGATAGTTTCCATACCAAGGGCTCTTTCACACAGTAAAAATTAAAAGTTAAACATAGCCAAAGCTGATTTTACAGATGACTGTCGGGGACAGGTTCATTTTCAAGGCAAAAATACAGAGGACCCACAGTGTATGAAGAAGATCAACTCTAGCTATTAAAGCATGCTAGAGTTGATCTTCTCCATACATGATTGCAAGACCAAGGGAAGCGGAAGGGCTCTTTCACACCATACAGGTACAAATGTAATTGAACCACCGGTTAACCAGAGTTCATCTTCAAGAAAGTTGTCAGAATGTAGGTTCTTTCACACCTCCATGAGAAAGAATTACAACATGTACAATACAGGCACAAAATCTAGTAGAAAACCAACAACCAATGCTTTTAAGCTTAACCAGAGCCTATCTTTTCCCCCTACCCCCCCCCCCCCAAAAAAAAATGCTAGTGTTTATGATACATGTACATGTACTGTACTGTACGTCAATTGATCTGTATAACCTTTGACCAGACGATCCCAAAATCTCATCACTTTGCTCCCTACAGTGATTTTCACAACACGTAGTTACAGGTTTCAAGTTCATCGAGAGTTATGTGACCATTCACAATTGTTATGAGAGCGGCATCTACACTGCAAAAATCAGTGAAATTTCTGACGGCTTTAAAAAAAAAAATTCAGAGGTGGATTTTTTTTCCTTCTAATTTCAGTTTTATCTCGTGTTTGCCGGTAGTTGGTTAGCGACTTCTGACGAAACACCGGAATCTGAGAAAAATGGATGATTTTTGCTTGCATTATAAATGTAGCCTCAGTTCTGTGGTGATGATACACACCAATTTTGTTATTAGTGTACATCACCATATTGCATGACTCAAATTAGTAATTCACACAAGGCAATAAAATGGCTAAAACCCTTAGATTTCATTGTACATGTACATGTACAATACCTAATGTACAATGTAAATTAACTGTTATGATCCTTGACCTTTCACCTATTTACCCCCCAAATCAGATTATCTTCATAAGGTGATACATATATTGTAACAAGTTTAAAGTTATTAAGTGGTTCTTGACATATGGCGCGATAATGAGACTAAAACCTGTATTTCAAAAATTGACATCTATGACCTACTGTACATTGTACTACATTATGTATGGCCTTTTCCCAAAATCTAAACAAATCGTCTTCCTATAGTGATTACCACCAAGTTCAAAGTTCCCACCTCAAGTGGTTCTAGAGATATTACGTTAAGGAAAGGCAGGCTGGACAGACAACCCAAAAACATAATTTATGCCAGTCTAACACCACCTTCGATGGGCGGAGCCAATAAAAAAAAGGATGTGTATTTGACAATACTTTTCAGTTCATTTCAC